ATTAGAAACCTTCTGGGATGCACATAGTCAGAAGGAAAACTACCAATATTTTTCAAGCATGGATATTCTCTCAGTAGCATTACTGTTTAGTTAAGTGGACATAAATGATGAATCATGATTTACATTCGATATACTGATACTATATTTCCTTCACATAATACCTAAGACTTTGTAAACCTAATGCATTTATTATGATAGAAGCTTTCATGAACCAAAGCTTGTACTTTATGCCCCGATTCTCCCAAATAGTACCAAGAAATAGAAATGTATCCATCCCTTGGTACTTGTCAAGACCCCTGCAGGGGCTACTTTTTTTATTATATTAGTGGAAATGGTGAACAGAAATCAGGTGTGAAACAAAACAAAGCATCGGTCTTATTTGTCTGGATTTTGGTATTCTTTGCAAGATCAGTTCTAAACCTCCAGTCATATTAGCAGTCTTTCCTACCTCTGTCTTGTTTGAACAAAGGTCAAGTTTGGTGATCTCTGTCTTCCAAGAACTACTTTAAAATATGTGTTCAACAGTTCTGCCAGTTCTGTGAGACCAGAAGATGGAAAGAACCTGATATCTCCTTGAGCATCAGGAAAAGAGAGAAGCCCGAAGCACATAAGAAGTAGACCAAAAGTCTTTCCACAGCACTTCTTGGAAGTGTTTCCTACAGAAAAGATGAGACCTATTATAATGATGTAGACTAAAGGGAAGAGAGAATGGTCTTGAAGGACAGGAGGAAGAACCTCAATCAGGCAGGCAATGGTCAGATAAGAGAGTCTTGAGCCCAGATGAAGATAATAACTTAAGAAAATCTCTCAGATAAACATCTATGGAGATTTTCAGCCATCCAGGTCATGGTTGTCCCAAAGGTGCTTTTTTCACAAGGCAACTGGACTTTCTTGTTTTTTTTGAAGATGTTTCACTTCTCATCCAAGAAGCTTCTTCAGGTCTCCACCATCCAGTCAGAGCTGAAGAAGCTTTTGGATGAGAAGTGAAACGTCTTCAAAGAAAAACAAGAAAGTCCAGTTGCCTCATAAAAAAAGCACCTTTGGAACTCTGAGATAAACTCATCCCAGTCTACACAAAGATAAAGTAAGGGAGAGAGGAACTACAGTCAGACTTTCATGATTCTGTTACTGTAGTTATTACAATAAAAGTAGTCTTGGCCTACATGTCATTAGTTTCTTAGTTTGGTCTATGTTGTAAGGGCTGACAAATATTCATCTCCATGTCATTGGAAATCAGGCTGCTGTTTGATCTCTTTATAATATATCCTAAAGAAAGGGATCGAACAACAATGTTGGGGTCAACAGGAACATAGGAAGCTGCTTTATAGGGGGACACTGATATTTCTTAGTATTGTTCTGTGCTGTTTATCAACAAATGTTTGGGTCTTTAGAAGTCTTTTTCTTTTTCTCCTCAGTTCTCCCTACAGTTGTCAGTGAATGGATTCAGGATCTTTGCATTTGAGACTGATTTAAAAAAAAAAAGTGGTGGCATCTTTTTCATGTGGGACATGGAAAAGAGAAACAAAACTTTTCTCTGAATTGCGTTGGATTACAGCCATGATTTTTCATCTTCACAGGGTTTTGGTCCAAATGTGTAAAATGAAAGCCTTCAAAGAACTTTGTACTCCGACTCCTGATCTTGAAGAAATGGTAATAGAGGCACTTAAGGTACAAAGCCATCTTGTTATCTTTGTGTTGTCTTTTCTCAGCTCTACAGTTTTGTTCTTAGCGCTTTTTGAGGTCCTGAAGGGACAGGTTAAAAAAAAACAGTTTTAAATTTTGTTTCTTTGTCAAAATCCATCACCTGGGTTTACATATGGTTCTCTTTATGGAGAAATGCACAGCTACAATTTATATTTTGCAGAATGCTCTGAAGATCTAGCTGTGATTTCAGACCCTCTATTCTTGGACCTCTGTCAAGTTACACAGTTCACACACACACA